CAACTAAACTTAATTGTTTTTTTATATCTGTAATTCTTCTTATGCATAAAAGATATATTTCATTTTTAAAAATTAAAAATAATTATATATTTATATGATATTTGATGTTTTATCAACAAATTTAATCATTTGATAAGAATCATGAGATATTTTATAAGCAATAAATAATTTGATTTAATTTAAATATGTGGTTGTGACGCGGTTTTGGTTGTGCTGAGACTGTGGGTGTGGGTGTGGGTGTGGGTGTTGTGGTCGTGGTTGTGGTGGTGATTGTGTTGGGGTTGTGACTGTGGTTGTGTTGTGTGCTTTGTGTATTATGATTGTGGATGTGCTCAGCTTGTGGCTGTGTTGGGTTGTGGTTGGGTGTCTATGTGTTGTGGTCGTGGATGTGAATGTGATGAAGAGGAGAAGGGGCTTGTTGGGTGTTGTGTTGTGATTGTGGTTGTGATGGGGGTTGTGTGTTGGGTGTGTGTTGTATTGGGGTTGTGTTGAGGCTGTGTTGGGATTATTTTTTGAGGTTGTGGGTGGGTTTGTCGGGTGTGTGTTGTGTTTGTGATTGTGTTGGGGCTGTTTTGAGGCTTTAGGTGTGTGTTGTGTTGGGGTTGTGTTGATTGTCTTACTGTGATGTGGGTTGTGGTTGGCTTTGGGTGCTCTATGTGTTATGGTTATGTTGGGTTGTGGTTGGGTGCTCTGTGTGTGTTCATTCAGTACTGCAAAACAATAAATGTTGAATTTATAGTTCTCATGAATATATACTTTCAATCATTAAGTTACAAGTTCCCTAACAACATTGAAATTCGAATTTCAATTTTTTTGCATATAATATTTAGTATAATTACACATCAATTCTCTACCAAAAAAAAAAGTCAAATAAAGGCATCAGCACTCACTGGATTTAAATATATAGCATCCCAAAAATTGCTATTTACAAAATCTAACTTACGAGTGATAATTTTGAACCATCGAATCAATGTATTTATTCATGTCATGATAAAACCATTGAGAATCTTATAACATTGAGAAAAAATGTTTCTTATGAATTTTGATGTTTGAGCGAGTATTTGAACAATATATGAAAGAACATGATAAATTTACTTCGTGTTTTTTTTTTTAATGTAAATGGGTTATTTTATTAATTCTCTTTTCTTCATTTTTCAATGTTCAACTACCAAGGGCATAAGTGCAAACTTTTTAAACTAAATTTATAGCACTCGAAATAATACTATTTATAACATTCGCGACAAAAAAACAATTTTTTGAATTACCAAACACGTTTATTTATGTGTGTCATGATCTAACTACAAGAAATTTGATTCAAAAAATAAAAAAATTATGGGTTTAGGCTTTAATTTGAATTTTAATAATCATGTGATAAATTAAAAAAGCAGATGCAAGAGGCGCTAGTTTCATAAATAGCAATATTTCGAGTGTTATGTATGTATTTATTTTTTAATTGATATTAGGGTGTACAACAATGACCATTTCATGAAAACTTTAAAATTAGGATGAGCAGAATAATATTGGTCGAATAATAAATAAATAAAAGATAATTGGAAAGGCCTTCAAATAAATATCTAACATATTTTTTTATTCATGTTATAATAAGTCTATTACATTTCCTTAAATATATATATATATATATATATATATATATATATATAAATTATTTTAATTTTTTGTTTTTGTAACTTTATATAAGTGGCATTTTTTGTCACCCTTTAAGCTACATGACTAGATATAGACTATATCATGAATTATAAATTAATGGTCTCCTTTCTTATTTTTATTTTTATATTTATTTGCTGCATTTGTCCTTTCAAAAGAGTAGCATTGTGATTTTTTTTACTATTTGGACACATATTTTTTATTTAATTTGTTCTTAAGATGATTTATAAAAATACCAAATAAATTTTATATATTTATATATAATATCAAAGCTTTAATTTTCATATTTATAACACTTTGGGAATGAAAAAAAATACATTTTGCATTTAAAAAGTTACTAGTTGGTTTCTATGTATGTAAATATGAAAATTTTAAAAATTAGATATTAAATATGTAAATACATAAAAATGTTGTGGTTTCTATGCAAATGCTTCTTTGTTTTTTAGGCATATTTTGTAGCTTATCTGATTTTGTTAAATTTGACTTTAACTTTGACTTTAAGAGTTTTAGGGTAAGCATTAGAATGGAGAAGAATAATTAAACAATAGAGGAGTGCCATGCCAAGCAAAAATATTTTATTTATTTAATTAATATTTTTTTATTTCTTGCTATATCATCTTTAATGCTTTAGCCATTTTCCATTAAATTTTATATTCATTATTTATCTTTTGAAATTGAGCAAGGAAGGCAAAAAAAAAAAAAAGAAATTGAGATAAAGTCATAGATGACAAGATAATCATCAAGTATATTTTGAGCTACTCAAACTTCTAAGTGTTTGTTTGGGATCAATTTTGTATTTTCTCTTTAATTTTTTTTTATATTTTATTTGTTTATATAAGGATATATTTTGCTTTGGTAGTGGCCCGCAAAGATGAATGGTTGCCAGTGACAGAGGGTGGACCAATGATCAACAATTGGCCACAGGCAACATGCAACAAATGGCAGCAACATTTGTTATTTAAAAAAAAATACTCAAAATAGCTTAATGTTCTTCTAAATATTTTTTAAAACAAATTAATTTATTATTTGAATGAGTTATTAATTTTCTTTATATAAACTATATATTTATTTTGTTGATTTGCATAGAATCTACACAATTATCTTAAGTTGTTTTACTCATATGCTATATTTGGAAGAGGAGGTCAAAGGCCTTTATGAGTGGAAAATACACTCAAGATGACCATAGCTAATTGGATTGTCTCATTTCAAACACACACACACACACAC